CCATTATTTCATTTTTATTGTAGCTGTGTATCAATGTAATACATGTATATGTTTTTATATATATATATATATATATATATATATATATGTATCAAGGACAAAAATTTTATTTTACCAAAAAACAGTCAACCAGGGGAATTCTAGAAGATAGCATATTTAAGGCAATCAGTCTTTGTAAATATAAGAGATAGAGCAATAATAATAACAATAATAACTTTGTTAACTTAGTTGTTGAATGTCTCTATGCAACTCAGAATAGAAATTCAACAGCTAAGTAAACGAATTTATTTTATTATTATATAGATACAATGTGGACAGAGGAATCAACACTGAATGGTGACTGTTAGTGTCATGCCTTAAGTAATCTTCAGACCACATATATGTTTATAGGTACATAGTACCTATAAACATATATGTGGTCATATTCCATCATATTCCAATATTTTCCATAACAAAAAATACAAAACTTCAAAAAATATATATATATATATTTAGGGGAAAGAAGTAGAACAAAGTGCAAAAAGTTTCCATGTGATGCGTTTTGTCCTTTAGGAATTCATCAGACTAAAAGGACGAAACATGTCAAATAAAACCTCTTTCCACTAAAATTGTTCTTGATATATATATATTTTGTTATCCCACTCCACACACACATATTCTTTTTAATAAGACTTGTTTGGAAGAACAATTGCTTCTAAAATACACCAATATATATATATATATATATATATATATATATATATATATATATATATATATATATATGTGAAATGGATTAACTCAACTATTATTTTAATAGATACAATTTATTTAAGTAAATGCTCTGTAAACATTATTAATTACTTTTTCTGGCCTGAATGTTTGAGAAATTTTATTGAAAATATGTGCTTCTCCATTGGGGTTACAGGTTCAATTCCTGTCAGAGAAGCACATATTTTCTACAAAATTTACGAACATTCAGGCTGGTAAATGTAATTAATACAGATCATTGCTTAAATTGTATCTATTAAAAATAATAAAATAACAGAATATATATATATATATATATATATATATATATATATATATATATATTTTTTTTTTTTTTTTAAGCATTGTGCCCCAAGCAAGGCGTGAAGCCACTAGGATGCAGGGGGTTGCGGAAGATTTGGGCGAGAGCAGATAAGAGTGATAGTAGAAAGGAAGAGGAGAAGGATAGTGGGTAGATCAAGGTAATTGGAGATGTTGACTGACATTACATTTGAATAGTTGGAGATTATAGCTTTCAGGGAAACAGTAATTGGAGGGTGTTCCACTGGCGAGAGGTGCAGGTGTGAAGCTATTGGAGTAGAAGAGACGGCTACATTTGAAGGTTTCTACGGTGTAAGGGTGAGGCGGGATGCCAGCCTCATAGGGCGCTTGAATTCATGGAGTCTGGGAACCAGAGAGAGCAGCTCATCAGAGCAGTTACCATGGAAGTATTTGTAGAAAAAGACAGAGAGAGGCGACAAGCGCGTCTGTGAGAGTGACTGCAAACAAGACGCTAGATCAGGGCCTATTAGATTACATATCCTTCTCTGGATCTTGTCAAGAACTCCGAGGTAAGCAGAAGGTGCTCCAGCCCATATATGGCAGCAATACTCCATGCAAGGGCGAATGGTTGTTTTGTATATTTGAAATGTCGATTCAGGGAGAAAAAAATTTCCTGGCGGCACAGAGAGCCAACTTTCCTTGCGATGGAAGAAGCAATTGACTCAATGTATTTGTTCCATCTCAGGTCAGCAGTCAGCGTGAGACCGAGCAGACGCAGGGAGTTGCTCTCAGGAAGTTGACTATCAGACATTTTAATGGGGGGCAGGGAAGGATCTCTATGGTGGTTAATGGAGAGTAATTTAGTTTATATGTGTGTGTGTATATATATATATATATATTATATAATACCAATTTGTAATTGGTAGGGATAATTCCAAGGAGGACATTAATCCAATGAGAATTTAATGTACATTGCAGAGCAATTTATAATGATAATCAGTCCATCCAGACAGATATACAGGTAAATCTGTCTGTCTGGATGGATTGATTCCATTTCTTAAAACTATTCAGTCTGAAGAGCTGAATATAACAAGATTCCTGAAATAAATTATAACCGATATGGAAAGGTATTTTCTTAATTTATCATTATATATATAAGTCACATAATAAAGAAATCCAAAATTACTTCATAAATAATAGCTATTTCAACCAAACATTACTACATTGGCATACTCAGTGTGTAAAGTTAAAAACTAAAAAATGAAACATTTTAAAAAAAGAAAACAAAACAAAAGAAAAAGAAAAAAGGAAAGAAAAGAAAGGAAGGATGAGGCCACCATTGAAAGCATAGATATTAATTTAACCCAACCACCTAGTATGGTGGAAAGGAGAGGCAGATATTGTCTGGCTTAAATGAAAACAGTTTTATACAACCTTGACTTAAATATTTAAACCCCAAGTTAGGGTGAAATTAAATCACAAAGTTAAAGACACCGAGATCAAACTGATTTAACAAGGAAAATAATAAATTATTTGTTATAAAACAAAAACAAAAATATATTTACTCCTTTTTAAAAAATTACTAAAAATATGCTAGCAAATAATACAAGATCAATAAATCTTAATTAGATCTTATATATAAAGTACAGTCTATGTGTGCGTGTGCGTCCAAGCAACTCCTCCACTCTCATTGGTTCGAATTCAATGATTCATAGCTCATTCAAAAGCCTTAGAAAAGATAGGTGCAGGGAATGATTTTTGTTGAGCTCAGATTCAGAGTTAGCAGATTATGTGAGGCTAAAAATATATATTAATACATTATATTAGCATATTGATTTTCAAAAAGTTTATTTCATTAATTGTTTGTCCTTCATTACTGTACTTTTATTCAAGGACTGTTTTGATTTTCATATCAAAAATAGTTCTGCTTAGGAATATAGTCTTATATAGTATAGAAAAGTATTTGAAATTTGCATTTTACTTGTCCTTCAACAAGTTGGCATCTATTTGTAAAACTTACTTTAACTATAACAAGCCAATTTATAAATAAAATTTTCATTTAAAATTTTTGTTTCAAAGATTTCAAGTAGTGAATATATCTTTGTGAAGCGATAGAAAGTGGGCAAAACCTGCTAGTAGTTTATATAAAGAAAAATAATAAAAATAAAAAAAATATTAAAATTTATGAAGATTTTTATAAAAAATTTAAAAAAAAATTTTAATAAAATCTTCATAAATTTTAATATTTTTAACTTTATATAAACTATCTAGTTAAGATTTATTGATCTTGTATTATTTGCTAGCATATTTTTGGTAATTTTTTCTCAAATTTTTGAGATAATAGAAATAAGCACGGAAGACAAACTCGTAGGTAAGTAATGAAATAGAAGGTTTACTACATGAAGGTATACTTAGCAATTAACCTAATGCTAACTCTCCTCAACCCCACTTATTTACATCAGTGAACGATTCCATTCATTTATGTCCTAAATGACACCCCATGAATGAATGAGTTAAAAAGTTTCAGCATCCTAGCTTAGTAGAAGTTAGTTAAACCAAAGAAGGCATGAAACTAATTAATACTAATTATTAAATCCAGAAGGTGGGCTCAAAATGTTTTGTCATGTATCCTATATGAACATGCATTTATGAAATACTTTGTGTTAAAAGGTATATTTTTCAGAGTATCCAAATTGATTTATACATAGCAACTGGTTGCCTCCATTTTCTATGCTTCTAAAGCCTTTAAATTCAAAGATGGCCATCAGAAAGTAAACGTATTCCAATATTTTCCATAACAAAAAATACAAAACGTCAACTTGATTTTGTATTTCAATTATATATATATATATATATATATATATATATATATATATATATATAGTCAAAGGTCATTCTACTATATTTTCTACACATATGTAATTATTTTTTTTTTTTTTTTCTAAATTTTTCCAATGTGTTGTTAATGACTTTTTAAGTTGTTAAAACAAAATGGCATTAAGCAAAAGTAGAACAAAATAAAAAGTCTGGAAAATCAAAGTAAAATGGTAAATAAATTCTTCATGCTCATTTCCATTTTGGCATATTTTTATTTAGCCATTCACTGTTGCAGACTCCTACTCAGGCACAACTGTGTTCAAAACCCACAGTCATCGTCTGTGCTTTATACTGCAACTATGTTGAGTGGACCTGAGTTACACTGGAAGACACGGGTGAGAACTGTAGGTGTTGGACAAACACATTTGTGCCTGAGTAGGTGTCTGCAACAGGAAGTGATTAACAGTTTATATTCCAATATCCACTTTCCTAAGGCTTATGGCCATATAATGTTGAAACACCAGTTCTTGTACTATAACCAAATTGAAGCAATGTCAAATCTGGTCAGTATTTAGATGGGCAACCACTTTGAAATATCAAGTGCTGTAAACTTGGATGTAGTGGATGGTGTAGTAGATAATGGGTTAAAACTGGAGATCGGAGAGCCAAGTTCCAGTTCTAGTCAGGTTTGTTACATTCACTTACACACAAATATCCTTGGGAAAGGTATAAACCCACCTCTTATTCTACTAACTATGGGTTAATTAGTAGAACTTGTATCAGTAAAAATCATTATTATCTCAAAAAAATTCTTACAATCTAAAAATATTTTCTGGTTTTAAATAACCTGCAAAATGTTCATAAGCAGTTAAAAACAATCAACCAACCAAGAAGTTATAAGATTTCGATCATGGTAAAATTTGAACCTAGATTTCATTGTTAAAATCAAACAATGTAACCACTCAGCCCATACTGTTTTGTATATATGATAAATAATCATATTAGCCCTTTACACTTGTTATCAAGCATTTCTCCAGTTTCAGGTATTTTAAAGTTGGCGACATCACCAACTACTATGTGACAAGACTGAACCAGTTAGGTGATGTTTAAACCAAGAATTTCTACATCAATTTGCCTGTGTTTGTGATGACTGTCATCATTTCTTTCTGTAGATCTTTCAATGCAACATGAGAGCAGAAAGCATTGATTGGACCACACTATGGAATTAACCAGAGAGTAACCCAACCCCGTTAAAGACCATTATCGATAAGGTTACCAGAAAAAAAAATTGGAAGTATGAATGATAAAAAAAACAGCCAATAAAATAACCACCAGGTCATGAAAACGTCTCACTTATTCATCAAAATCCCACAAAATACAGAGGAAAAATACCTGGGAATTTAAATAAAAGATTACATGAATACAAAAGGGATCTTTTACAAAATAATATGCTCAATGCATTATTTGTTCATTGTAATATGATCATAATTTCAATTTAAAGAATGAAATTTGAATTAAATTTGGCACCCTCTATGGTAAATTTAAATTCAGGATTAGACAATATATCTCCTTTCCTTATGAACATACTGATGAGACAATATAAGATAATCAAAAATTAAAAATCATAACAGTAAAAATAAAAACAAAAAGTAATAAAAAAACTGTATGAGATTGGCTAAGTTAAATATTTAGATACACCGGTTTTCAAAATTTAAACGTTTTCAATGTAAAACTATAAACAAACATTTGCAGTATTTCTCCCCACTTCTACTTTCAATAAAACAATTATTAGTCTGAAAAAGTTCCTTTTTAGAATGAAACTTCCTTATTTTTTCCATTTTGTAATTCACTTACCCACTGATATATAGATTTATATATCTTCCATATATAATTAGTAATAATTAAAATAAAATAGTTCACTTATACACTTTATAAAGAACATGTTCAACCTTGCTAAAATAATTTATTCTTCGCATATAATATTTTATCTTAGGTTCAATATTAAGTTTGGCTATTTTATACATCAACAATAGCCACATTTGCAAAAAGTTATTCTCATACTAGAAAAAATGATTGATAAATATAATAGGCATAAAATGTCTATTCTCTTTAATAAAACACACACACATGTGTATATATATCATTTATGAGATGAATTTACATGCCCCTTAAGGAATTGTGTTCTTGATCAAAACAAACACACAATTACATTGCTCATATCATTGCATGCCTATCTAGATGACTAATGTTAAACCTACCTGACCATATCTCAATTAAGACTCATTTAAACACACATGAAATACAGGAGGTATAATAGCCTTGTGTACATGTAAGGAAAGATTAAAAATAATGGAAGCACTAATAATAACAAAAGGAAAAGCCAACAATCAAAAACATTAACTATGAACACAGTTACAACATGCTAACCATGCTTGGAAAAATAAAACATTTCTATAACTTCAGATACATACATAAAAAAAACCCACACATTCAGTTAAAAATAACAACCATTCTTGATAATGGCTAAAAGTGCTCAGATATGCAGGACTTTTGAACAGTTTCTATATACTTTGTGTCCAGAAAAGAAAACACAAGATAAATTAGATAAAAAGCTTAATAGCAGTATCTTGTCAGTCATCTTTAATCAAACTTATATAATTTCACATAATAATTCATTAAGTCTAGAACAAGAATCCTCAACAGAATGCAGAAAGCATTGGATGACTGTTTCATCCTTTTTTTGGGACTCATCAACAGTGCGCATCCTCTATTGAAAATTGAACCTGGACCATCATGATACAATGCAAGTATCATACCACTGGGCCAGCGGGCATTGGTGATGAAGAGGAAACTAACTAGACTCAATATAGTGCATCTACTTTTAATTCCAGTGGGTTATGTATACTTAAAGGAGTATCATTAGTGGAATTAGGAGTATATGCATTATATTAGTAACTAATTTCCTCTTCATCATAAAGGCCTACTAATGTTATGATACTACATTAATATCTAACTATCATTTCATTTTTTAGTAGTGGATCGCACTACTAATAGAATCCCCAAAGATGAAATAAATCAGTGCTTTCTGCATTCTCAATTATTCTAGATCAATAATATCATAAAGTATTCAAATCTCAAAAAAATTTCTATTACTTATATGTATGTAAAAAAAAAAAAAAAAAAAAGAGATACATATCTTCTTCTGTATTGTATGCTGTAAATTTCTTTTCCTTAAACAGATGTTATCATTATCCAGTTTCTGAACTCAAATGTACCATCAAAATTGCACACACACACACACACACACATATATATATATATATATATGTATGTATAGCTGCTCTATATATAGACACAATATTAGTAAATAGACACAATTGCTTTATTCAGATTTGACATTTAGTCAGAATAGGCTCAGTGTCAATTACCATCTCTTTATGTGCTGTGTCACTTCAAGAAAGGTGATAATCACTGCTCTCCACACCTTCCTATCTTTTATTGCTCTTAATACAAAAGAAATAACTGCACAATTCCTCATACTCCTGAAGAAAATAAATTGTAAGGTTTTAAAAGGAGGTTTATTATTTTAGCTAGAAGTTTTTGGACATGTAACAAAGCAGAAAGACTTGGCTTAACACTCAAATGGTATACCGAGTACAACAGAAGCAAGGAGGAAAAGTGAGTAATCTATTCAAGAAGTTTAAGTAAATAGATGTCAGAACAGGGCCCACTTAGACAGGATTAATAAAAGGGCAAGATTTGTTTAAAGTAACAAAAGATAGAAAGTTATGAAAGTGGCCTGTGTGTTTCTACCGATGAATGCTGAGAGTAACATAGACAAAGCATGTGAGAAATGAGCAAGTTTTAAGAATATGAACTACAAAGAAACTGCTGCTAATAATCAGAAAGATACAGCTGAAACTTATCAGAAAACAATATAATAATTACCAATGTGTATTTATTTATATAATTCTTGTCCCATCTGTAGTAGGAAGGGAGGTAAATCAACTTAAGTTATTAAATTTATGAGTGAATTCTTCCCTTAGTCATTTTAATGATCTCTACAAATAAAACATTTATCTGCATTTAGACAAAATTAGTTTCCAAGCAAAATGAATCATTTAATTAACCAGTTCCTTTACTACTTACATTGCAGTCTTATTTGTTCAAGCCTTTCATGTGAGACATGCAGATACCTTTGTCTATTAAGTGATTTTGAAATAAGCTTTGCCACAAAAAGCAATTTACATAATGCCAGGAGTAATCAATAAATTATAGATAACATTGAACGTCTAAAATATAAAGAGAATGGATTAAATGGTTCATTGACCTCTATTTTAGTTGTGAATTCTTTATCACCACTTTATTGAATGTCAATACATTGTTTAAGACATTTGATATAAATATGCATTGCAAATGATTTTACTATGAAAATGCATTGGAATTGACTTTACTTGACTTTACATTGCAAATTATTTTACTAAAATAATTAATTGAAAGTGATTTTACTGTAAAAATGCATTGCAAATGATTGTAGGTTAGGTTGGTTGATTTTGCTACATATCAACACTGTTAGTTTATTTAATGTCAAATCACACTGTTAGTTTATTTAATGTCAAATTTTTCTATTGAACTCACTAATTAGTAGCAATGGTCAACCAGATTAGCCTTGTTATCCATTACCCCATCCTGAATTCAGCTGGTTGTTTTTATGCTTGTTAGATTATTTAATGTCAGAGTTTTGTATGGAACACCTAGTGAGGATTGAATTCACTGCTCAGTAGTAATGATCAACCAGATTAGCCTTGTTGACCTTTACTTCTTTGTGAATTAGCTAAATCTCATTGGTTATTGCAGTAGAGTAGCCAGAAGAACACAACTTCTTAAACTATTCATTGTTTAACAGAGAAAATCAGTGTTAAGAGAGTGGATGGTGAGCAATTAAGAGAATGGACTGACCATTGAAGTTAAATTTTGTCACACTATGAGCTTTTTGAACAAAGCCTCATTTGCTCAATTTTCAAACCATAGTTATTGACAGTTATACAAACAAAATCAACATCTTTTTCATGAAGAATGGAGCTCAGTGGCATATATCAAAAAAGTATTCAAGAAAGAGAGAAAAGACATTAAATAACTCTCTGGGTCAAATTGAACTGAACATGTCAGAGTCATTTTAAATCATAAGTCATATTAGAAAATATCCTGAAAACATTCTATAGTCTCTTTTCAGTGCTGCCTAGTCAGATATCCCACAAGATAGCAGATCTAATAAATTTCATAGTTGAAATTTAAATGCACTAATAGCAAGTTCACCAAGTTTTCATTTTCAATACATGCATACATATATATATACATATATAGACATGTTTTTTTATTGAAGCATGACTGGGATTAATGTGGGTGCTGCCTGACAGAGGATTTGCCTAGTCGGATATCCCACAAGAGAAGATATCAGATCTAATAAAATTGATATAGTTGAAATTTAAATGCGTTAGTAACAAGTTCACCAATTTTTCATTTTCAATACATACATACATATATACATATATAGACATGTTTTTTTATTGAAGCAGGACCGGGATTAATGCAGGTGATGCCTGACAGAAGATTTGAGGTAACCTTTTACAAGGTCAGATGCTTTTCCTGACGCCCAACTCAGATATTCACATAGTCCAAGTACACTGAGTGTTTTTATCAAGACACCATCTCTAGGAAGGTTGCCATTCAAGGCTTGAGACTCCATCCAAGCCATATATATATATGTGTACATATGTATATATGTTGGCCAGGATTAATCTCACATAAAGCAAGGTGCTCTTCTTGATACCCAACTCTTCAGACACTCATGGTAGTCCAAGTACACCAAGTGTTTTTATTGAGACAACATCTCTGGGAAGGTTGCCATTCAAGGCTTGAGATCCCCATCCTATATATATATATATATATATATATATATATATATATATATGTGTGTGTGTGTGTGTGTGTGTGTGCATAAATCTGTATATATATTTGCCAGGATTAATCTCACACAAAGCAAGGTGCTCTTCTTGATACCCAGCTTATTAGACACTCATGGTAATCCAAGTACACCAAATGTTTTTTATCAAGACACCATCTCTAGGAAGGTTGTCAAAACTTGAGACTCCATCATAGCCTCTTATATGTATATTATAATTATTTTTTAAAAAATATGTATCCATCAAAACACAAAAATTACTGTTTC